TGAAAACCTATGGGGAGATGTTAAACGATATGTTGCAAATGCAAATCAAACATCTCGATCACAGCTTTGGGAGGTTGTTCAAAAATCATGGGAGCGGATCCCTGTCAAGCGCTGCCAGGACCTGGTGGATTCTATGCCTTGCAGATGCCAGGCCGTAATAAAAAATAATGGGTACACGACTAAGTACTAACCCAAGCAAACAAAATAAAATAGTTTTTTGGAGTTCAACAATGTTTTTTTTCAACTAATTCCATGTTTTCATTACTCACTGCTATTTTTATGAACACAGCTGTATGTATAACTGAAACGGAAAATAAAACCGGTCATTTGTTTGATAAAAATCAAACGTCACGGATACTAAATAGAGAAAAAAAGGTATTTTAATCAGCAGTGTTTTTTTTTGTTTTGTTGAATTAATTTCAATGGCAGCTATACTCTATAGTGGTCCAAACTGAACAATTTATTTGGAGATTGGACTGGTTTTTGATCGTTATATGCTTTAGTGGATCCATATCAATGGTTGCGACAAATGAGCAGCTTCTTTGGGATAAAAGGACGTGGGAAAAATTTTCAGATCGATATTTCAAAAACTGACAGACTAGACGTCACGCTGATTATTTATATGCATATATATACTTTATAGGGTCTCCGACATTTCCTTCGGCAAATTTAATAAAAACTATTAATTGTATAAACATTTCTCTAACATTGATTGCGCAAAAATTTGACCAATCAATGAAAAATTCTTCTTTTCAATTTGTAAAAAAAAATTGTTTAAGCCATAAAAAAAGTCGCTGTTTTGTATTGATTTTCCGATATCATTACGCACTCGATGTCAGTACTCACTAAAGGTATCGGAGACGAGAACTCGTTGCCACTTAAATTACTGTGTTTTTGATATCGAAAAATTTAGAAATACAAACTTGGAAACCATTTCAATATTTATTTTTCTAAGGAAATCGTTTAATTCCACTTTTCATAGAACATAACGTTATTTAAATGTCTGCCACAAAAGGGTCAACTCACATAACGACTAAAAATATTTTGTGACAGTTGCAGTTTGATAATCCTACTTTTTAAGCATGTTTACAATGCTATACATTATACATACATATTATATATTTTTTGTTGGAACCATAAATGCTACATTAAAAAACTTTGGTAGTCCGCAAGCATTTTTTTGTGATGAAGATAAGAAGAGCCTTAAATACATTGGGTTCAAAAGCTCAAAAGTAATATGGCCTTCATTATTTCCCCCAGAGCCTGGTCCACTTAACTTTTTTTTATTTATCAAAATTTTTCTCCACTTAAATTAGGCAATGCTTTATATAAAACCTCAAGGTCATGCTATAAAACACTCGATAGCGGTAATGGACGGGAAAGGAATTTCAATACAGCACTCGCACGCCCACACGCTGTCATACGCGTAGGCGTGTACGTGTACATATGAGCTAGTTTCGCGGGACGGCCGCCAGCCAGCTGTAGCGCTTTCAAAACGTTTGCCCTCAAAAGCGCGCAAGTGTTTATGGTGTGTGAAGAATCATCACGTGCATCAGCATTTCTTTTATTACAAAAAGGATTTTATGCTAAACAGTGCGTTCGTGTTTTTATAACTTGGTGTGTCTGTGTGTGTGTTTTCAGTTTTGCTTTATGCCACTCGCAATATTTGGTAATGAAGGACTCTGCGCCACTTAAAACGCTTACACACGCTCTTTATAAGTATATTTTCCTGCTAAGCATATACTGTTCGTTTATTTCTCATGAACTCTTACGTATGTGCTTAATGGGTGTTTCAAGAGGATTTGATTGGAAATCAGTTATATTGTTGCTGTTGGGAAAACATTTTTTTTTTCATTTATAAATATTCGGAACCGTTCCATTTACGTAGATCCGACTGTGATGGAAACGGAGAATCAGTGACAAGTTCTTCGTAGCTCTTTAACGATGGACTCAAATTTGGTCGAAAGTCACTCTTAATACTCAAATCGAAAAATATTGCATATAGATGGCATATGATTCCAGGCGGTTCTGGCCTTCGTTTACTCCTTTTTTCTGTATGCAAAAGACAGAGATCTTGTAAATGGGCTTTATAAAGCTGCAACGCTGAGAAAACACTTCCTCTTAAAAGAAAAATAGTATCGTTAATGCCACACACACAAACCATCTTTTACACCATTTGAACATTTACATACGTGCTCTTGTTGTAAGACCCTCTACATGCTGGAATACTTACATAAATGTTGCAGCATCACAAGCGGCGTTTCTTTGCAGCTTGCTGACTTCCGCTGCATAGCGCTTAGAGCGCCGAAGGACAAGCGTCGGGCACACATAGCAAGCTTGATTGAAAGGTTGAAAGGATTGTGGTGAGCGCTGTGAGTGGTTGGAGGCGAAGGGATGCGCTTGAAGGCTGCTCGAGTGCAGCAGCAAAGGCAAAAAAGAAAGCCAAGTGGCCTCAGCGTGCAACTAGAAGCATAATGGAAATAGCAGTGTGAAGCAGATTTATTTTTTTTATTTCTTTGTTTTTTTTTTTTACATTTCTGCTTTTATCTTTGCACAAATGTTGGCATTTCGGCATTGTTTAGATTCGGATTTGCGAGGGCCACGTGACTTTTATCCTTGTTTCTGATTGCAATGTGTTTCAATCTTGTCGTTGTTCTTGTTGCATTGCGTAGGCTGTCACATTTGCTAACTGTGGTGTGCAACATTTTGTTGTTGGCATCTTGTTGACGCTCGTGCTGGGCCTCATCGGCAACGTCATTGAGCTAGCAAGAGTTCAAGGTCATGCTAGGCGGTCCGCAACAAAAACAACCAGTTGACAACGTAACACAACAAACATTTTAATAATGATGGCATTTGTGATAGCAACAACAACAACGACGTGTAGCGATAAAAAAAAATCGTTGCTTGTATGTGTTGTGTGGGTTGCAGTTGTCGGTGTGTGTGTTGAGCTGCATTAAAATCGGCCCAATTTCAAGTCGCAACTATTTCATACACACACACACTTACATATAGATACATGTACTTGTACATATGTAAATGCAAACACATGAAAGTAAGCATCTGATGTGTGCCATGCAATAAAAAACTTTACAAACACATCTGATGTTAATGAAAGCAAAAACAATGTACAAAAATAACAGCAACAAAATGCCAGCTGCCATAGCTCGCCACATTCCAGCTGTTTCCAATGCGCCACATAAATTTTGTTTCAGTTTTCTATTTACATACAAACATACGTATATACTATGTATGTTTATATGTATAAATATGTATGTATGTATATGTCGATCAACTTTGTGGGTGTTCAACGCTGCTGATTGCGCATGAATGAATGAATAAGCTTTGGGAGCGAGCGCGTTGCACTTCCATGTGTGTGAATGCACTGCTGAAGGGCACCGTGGAGCGGCTCATATTACATTTGACAGCGACAGCATTTTAATTTAGATATTTAGATGGGTCATTTTATGTGCAACCGATTTCAGCAATAACGTAAAAATGTATTTGTTTGGTGCATCGGCTACAAAATAGGCTTTATCTACTTTGTTAAAGAAACTAAACTCAATTCGAGGGACCTTGGGTCAGATTTATCTTACTTTAAACATTCATATCAAATTAATAATTTTCAGCATAAATATTTAAATAAAAATTTTATTTATTTTTCTGAATTTGCCAATAACATGTGATCCAAAAACTACGCATTTGCTATATCGTTTTCTTTATATGTGTAAATTTTTTTTACAGAATTTCGAAAGGAAAAAATTCATTTCCTGTCGTTTCGTGATTGTATTACATGTTTACCATATATCAATAACGGATTTTAACTTAATTAGGGATAAAAGTCGAGATGAATTTAAGTTCAAATTATGAAATTCAGATATGCACTTAAAATAAATCGTTACGTATCGTTATATAAGATACATCGTTTTAAACCAAAATAAAAAGTTTTTGATTCATATAAAATCAGCTCAATAGAAAGTAGGGTTAAAGAGCCACACCTACTGTGACAGCCTAACAACCTCAATTTTTTTGTAAATTTCGTGGTATATTTATACATGCTTCAAGAATACACAGTGAAAGTTTTTAAATAAAAAAAAAAAAATAATAAAAACTAAAAAAATAAAATATTAAAAAATACATTTGTTGAGTTATCGCGATTTTCAGCGGCGCTAAAACTACGTGCTCCACTGCTGCAGTGATTCTGGTCTTCTCCGTCAATGATACCTAAAAATAAAAAAATTCTCGTTAAACTAGAAGATATTCTGGAAAGAGAGTAACAAGGAAAAGTTGAACAAAAATACTGATATTCAAGTTATAGTGAGGCTTAAAGTAGCGGAAAACTTGATTTTCATTGAGATGAAACATTTAGAGCATAATAAATATGTCAGCTTATAACAACTGTTTTTACAACTTTTCTATAATTTAAAATTTTACTATGTTTGGACACAAATCCATGAGCTATCGAATCTTCTCACTGGGCAACGAAACTAGCTATATGCATAACGTATGGTGTGCCTTAAAAACTTTTGCAATCAACCCTCCTGCAATTTTTAACTAAATTAACAGCTTTTTTTTTTACCTAATTCTCTATTTGATTTGTCTACATATCTAAATGGTTACGTGAGTATGTATGTATGTAAATATGCCGTGGTATGCTGCCACTTGAATTTGACACAACCCATTGTGTGCTGGTTGCCCATCTCGCTGACGCGCACACGCCCACATACACAATTGAGCGCAACCGCTGACCGCCACTTGACCGACCAACCGCGTGGCTCAACTCAATTTAAAGCGGCACGACCGGCTCACATAATAATTTACTTTGCTATTTAATATTTTATTATAGTCACTACAGCCACACACACACACACATGCACACACAAAGCTAGTAAACTATGGTTTAGCTATTGTTGTTGCATAATTTCTGTTTATTGCGGCATTTGTACACATTTCTAATTTGATATCATTTGTTTGTTGTTGTTGTTGTTTTTGTTGCGCCGCAGGATGTACCAATTAAGCGCACCGACTCATCACAGTGGTGGGAATTGTTCGATACGAATACGCAACGCTTTTACTACTACAATGCAGCGACACAGAAAACCGTCTGGCATCGGCCAAGCAAGTGTGATATCATACCGCTGGCGAAATTGCAAACGCTCAAACAGAATACGGATCCGAGTGATCGCAAGGAGAGCAGCACACAGACACAGCATACGACAGGAGGTGGGTCGCAGTCGACGTCGGCGACACAATCACCTTTGGCGGCGGTCGGCAAGCTGCGCGCCCAGCGCAGTGCAGCGCGTGAAGCGGCAGGATTGACTGTCAAGAATAACACGAATACCGGTGGGAGTGTCGGCAGTGCGGGCAAGCGCAGCACCGCTGGCATGGAGGGCCGTAACGTCAACGCTTTGCCTCTACACGCTAGTTCGGAGGAGAAACTCTCCGCCGAGTTCATTTCTAGTCCACGTGGGCGTCACAGTTTTCGGTGAGTAATACTTAGTGAGCCTGAATGCTTTTTGATTTTCCCTTATTTAAGTGTAACAGTCAAACATATTTGCATACATATACTTCTATGTACATATGTATGTGTGTATGTACAGCTCTGTATATGCAAATAAATGAATAATTCAGTGTCTGTGAAATGTAAATTCAATTGTATATATTTCTTTTCTTCTTACTTTCATAATTCATATATGTCGCATAATTCACTGGGCACGCACTTGCTGGCGTTCATTGCCATCCGCAACGTCGTTCAAATTGTGCGATTCCTTTTTTGTCGCGCTCAAATGATCACTTCACCACATTTGCATGTACTTAAATGTATCTGCAATGTTTTTATCATTGAAAATGCCGATTCGTTCTACATACATACATACGCACAGCGTTGGAACGGGTGATTCATCATCGTTCACGGATATGCAGCCATTCTCTTCGAGACGCTCACAAGGTAAGCTATTTACTTCATAAATAAAAATATCTACTTTTGCCCTCCAATACACACGCAAACAAACATATTTATGTATGTAACGCAGTGGTTGTACAAGAATCCAAAGCAATCCAAATTTATCCATGTGCTCACTCATCCACATATATGCATATCCATAGACATATATATATACATACAAACATATATGCATTCCGCTTACTTTCTCACTGCGGCTTCCCGGTAAATTGGTTGAAGTACTTTTTTGTATAACGCTATCCATAGCCAGCTGTTAGAGCCGGCGTGCCTTCGTATAGTCATACAAGACATTAAGCCATTAATGAACATGCACACATGTACCCATATATGTATTTACATACATACATGTGCACATTTATAGATTTTTGAATGCCGTTGACACTTTTCCTGCCATCGGTGCTGAGACAGTGTGTCACTTCGTTGCTCTAGCTCTTGGTCTTGGTCTATTTGTAGTATTTTTAATTATACAATACTTATGCATATTTATTGTTGTTATTGTTATTGCCATAACCGGGTACCAGTAGAATGCGCATTCGTCAAAGATTAACGCTGCCGGGATAGATACTTGTGCATGCTTACCTACAATATAGACACATACATATGTACGCATTCATTGCAGAAGTACAGAGGAGTATATATGCATATAAGTATGTATATGCGTATTTAATATAAAGTGGGAATAGTTGCAAGACGACTCATCTTTCTTGTCCGCCCATCTGATTCGACTGATAGACCTTCAGAGTAAGAAATACTTTCAAATATGTGTGTATGTATGTACTTGTACATATGTGCATATGTATGTCCACACGAACATACTAGGGTGGGTAAAAAAAAATAATGTTTTTTTTTACATCGTACTCTGAAAAATTAGTTGACGCACACCTCTTAGAAAGGCTCTCCAAGTATGAGCTCTTAATTGTAACTGAAAGTTCCTTCGACTAACGGTTTTTAAATTTTCCTCAGATAGAAAAATTCAACCACTTGAAAACATATGTATTTCGTTTCATAGAAAATTGAATGCTCTACAGAAAAGAGCTCATACTTGGAGAGCCTTTACAAGAGGTGTCTATCCATCAATTTTTCAGAGTACCAAGCGAAAAAAAAGTTTTTTTTTTGACTACCCTAATACACATATATATTGTAGCATTTCTTAGGAAATCAAAAATTTCATTAAATTTAAATACCAATATGTTTGTATATATAATTAAGATTTAAAAAATGTTTCAAAGAAATGTATTATCTTCAGAAGCGGGTAAGATTTCAAATTCCATTATTGGTATAATATATATAATGGCAGTCAGTAATTATTCCTTTATACATTTGTGTAAAGTCATAGACTCCTTAAAACAATGAATTATATTTTCTTGTCCAAAAATGCTTCTTGTAAAAGCATAAAAATGTAGCAGTCACGTCTTTGTCAATATTTCATCCTCTAAACTAATCTCAATTGATAAAATCGCAGTTATGCTTTCGCTTCTGTATCATAAACTTTAGTTTAAGGTGTAAGATAGCTGGAATAGCTGGATACATTGCTTCGTAATAATCCCGTAAAAGCTAGAACAAAATGGAATATGCTATTCTTAAAGATAATGAGTGATAAATGCTCACTTCAGGCTTGGCTTAAATTTTAACCCTTCATCTATCATCCAAAAAAACTCAATCGATTTCATCACTGATTACTGCCTAGACGTTCTTTCTTGAGAAGCCTGAGCTTTCCGTGTCGATACTGTTAGCTTTCGTGTAAAGAAAATTCAATTTTTTTTTTAATTTTCGACAATATTCCTGGGCTTATCTTTTTCTAAAAACAAGTATATTAAATTAAGTATATAAATTACTTCTGACAAACAATGGGCAGTGTTGCATATAGGTTGGTCCATAAAGTTTAAACGACTGAAAATATCTAACACCGGTCCCTATAACACCCTATAAAAAGTCTAACGTTTTCCAATCCCAGCTTCGTGGTTGTCAAATGACATAGTTTAGGCGGTTGATAAAACGATTTTCGAATTTAGTGCATACAAAAGACTTATTACATTCGCCCTGCCCCCAGCTAAATCAGTTTTGTTTATTTATATAACTTCTTTGGTAAATAATATTTTCTAGATTTTTTTTTGAAAAATACACAATGCTGATTTCAAAACTAGAAGATATCTCTGTTCCGATTTTCTTCGGTATCGCTATAAATATTATGTGTCAAAATAATACCATATATATAAATAAGATATTTCCCATGATAAACCCATATCTATAATTTTTATCTGCTATGATGTAATCTCATTACACCCTGAACAGGGTATATTAAATTTGTGACGAAGCTTGGAACACCCAAAAGGAATCATCGGTTACCCTATAAAGTATATATGTATATCAATGATTAGCGTGACAAGTTGAGTCGATTTAGTCATGTCCGTCTATCCGTCTGTATATTCGTAAATCTAGTCGCTTAGTTTTTATACCTTGAACAGGGTATATTAATTTTGCCTCGAAGTTTGTAACACCCAGAAGGAAACGTCGGAGACCATATAAAGTATATATATAAATGATCACCGTGACGAGCTGAGTTGATTTAGCCATGTCCGTCTGTCTGTCCGTCTGTATATACGCGAACTAGTCCCTCAGTTTTTGAGATATCGATCTGAAATTTTGAACACTTCTTTTTCTCCCCAAGAAGCTGCTTGTTTGTCGGAACGGCCGATATCGGACCACTAGCATATAGCTGCCATATAAACTGAGCAATCGGAATCAAGTGTTTGTATGGAAAACTCTTTCATTTGACGAGGTATCTTCACGAAATTCGGCACGGATTATTAGTTAAGGCAACAATGTAATCTCCGAAGAAATTATTCAGATCGGATGACTATAGCATATAGCTGCCATACAAACTGAACGATCGGAGTAAAGTGCTTGCATGAAACATTTTTTTTATTTGACGAGGTATCTTCACGAAATTAGGCACGAGTTATTGCTTAAGGCAACAAATTATTCTCCACAGGAATTGGTCAGATCAGATCACTATATCATATAGCTGCCATAAAAATTAAACGTTCGGAATCAAGTTCTTGTAAGGGGCCTTTGTTTTTGTGAAGGGTATTATAGCTTCGGCGCAAGCGAAGTTAACGTTTTTTCTTGTTGAGTTATCGTTCTGAAATTTGTCGGAACCACCGATATCGAACCACTATAGAATATAGCTGCCATACAAACTGATCGATCAGACTCAATCCTTATATGGAAACCTTTTTTATTTAATAAATTATCTTCACAAAATTTGGCATATATTATTATCCAAGGCAGCGCTACAACCACCGAACAAATTGTTGAGATCGGCGGTATATAGCATATAGCTGCCATTCAAACTGATAGATTTTTATAACCTTTTATGTTATAAAAAATGCACCTGTGCAGGGTATTTTAGCTTCGCTGCAGCTGAAGTTAACGGCTTTTCCTGTTTTTTAGAATACTTCACATTATGCACTAATTTTCGCTCATAAGAAATCACATCTTATCTGACTACTTAAATTACTCATGCACTCTATGTATTATATTTCCACGCACTCATACAGATTCAACAAATCATTACAAAGAGTCGGGCAAGTCTAGCGATTCCAGTTTGTCCAGCATACATGGCTATCGGCGTTTTAACGATGCTGGCGCTGGCGAAAGCTTGCGCTTGGGTTCACTACAGAAACAACGCACACGCAAGGAGGGCAGGTGAGTGTTGTTGCTTTTTAGCGTTATTCCACCATTCCGGCCTATGCACAGCAACATATTCACAACACGCTGTGTGTTTCGCTTCTCATTTCATATGGTTTTTCCGCGCCGACTTGCGTATATAACGAAAATGCAAACTTTTAACCGACATCCACCGTCCAACGACGCCCACATGGCAAATAACCAACCTTGCAATATGCTCGAAACAAAAACAAAAATCCACATTGCAGCTTTGATTTGTTGCAAGAGAGCAATAGTTCGCACAATTTGCCGCACGCCTCATCGTATGGCGGGGGTGGCAGCGGCAATGGTGGCAGTGGTGTTGGTGGTGGTGCGGTAGGTGATAAATATTTCGATCGTCATCTTCAACAGACACCAACGCAAACGCATTCACCGCAGCAACAGCAACTCTTGCCGGGACATCATTTGCCGGGCTATTGCTCGTCCAAGTCGTCGGATGTGGCTTCGCCCACGCACTCGGCGCACACACCACAACCAAAGAAGAAAATCTCGCCCGACGGTGGCAGTGCCGTGGGCACAGGTACGAGTGGTCACTATCCACCGCTGGCCTATGCACATCAAAGGCACTCTCAACCGCAACAACAACAACAACAGGCACCACGCGCCCAACGTATTAGCGGCACGGGAGGCAGCGGTTCGGGTGGAAGACATCACGGTGCCGCAGAATATGCAGGCGGTAAGTGCACAATTCCCTGTTAAGGTGTATAGTATATATGTGTGTGCGATGTATATTTGAAGCGTTTTTCCCTGTTGCAGAGCGTGAACGTGAATATAAAGTGTCGCTGGCGCGTTCGGGTAGTTTCATGTCAACCGCCATAAATCCCACAGCGGCAGGGCATCACAGCAAGTCGTATCGCAAGTCAAGCGGCGAGGCAAATGGCGGCGCGGCTAGCGATGACTCTATGCATGAAAAATATTTCAAGTCTGTGGAAAATACACCACTCTCGCGTCGACGGCACGCTGCCGCGTCCAAGACAACAAGTGGCGATGGCACTGGCGGTGGCACCAGCGGCAGCAGCAGCAATAAAAAGCACTCGAGTGACTCCAGTCCGCAAAGCCCCATTAGTCCGCAGGTGCGTGGCAACAATGTAATTATTAGTAAATATTATTTTTTAAATCATAATATTCTTGACTGCCTATAGATCAAATCAAAGTCCTCGAAAACCGCTAACAATGCGCTCGGCAGCGCTTTTGCCAATAACTCCGCATTACATTCACCTGGTCACTCACCAACTGCTCCTTTGCATAACAAACATCACAAACAGGATTCTTCATGCAGCTTGGAACTTTTGAATATGGAACGTATGTCCTTGAATAAGCCGACTTCGCCACATTTAAGTGACGTCGTTGCTGCTTCCTCTTCAACATCACCAAATAACCTGGTGGCCACCACCGTGGGTATGAAAAACTTCCCATCATCGGATAATATTGGTGGTATGCTGACACATTCGTCGCGCAGTTCGACGGACTCGCGCAGCAAGCAGCGTGCATATCAACAGCAGACGCCACAACTGCAGCAACACCAAAGTCAGGATAATCGTTCGATTGGCTCTTTGCGTCACAACTCAACTGGTGTGGTGAGTATTTCAATTACTTTAAATGGTAATTAATGAGGTGTTACTTTCACAAAATTTATAAATTAGTGAAAAAATGTTAGGTTCAAACCCTAACGGTAATTTTTGAAACTTTTACGTACAGCCGCTCAGTCAGAAAGTTTTTAAAGACTTCTTTCTATCAGAAATTTATTTTAAAGTCAGATGTTTCTTGCTTTTTGCTTTTTTGCACTTGCAGAAGAAAGCTTTTTTAGAATTTCGTATTATTCTAAAGGCGGCTCTTGAAACAACGTTGAACATTTAATGAAAACATACGACATATTTTAACTCAAAAATTAGGCTAAACGTTGATTTGCATTGAAGATAATAAATTATGCATGATAGTTGTGAATCTAAAAAAAAAATTACACTTTCGAAAATTAATATAATTTTAATGTCGATTTTCAGCATAACTAATTTTATTTGAATAATTTGTTCAGACTTTAGAAAAGTATATCTTCAGGTAAACATCATAGAATTATAAGTATCTAAAAGTTTTAACCGTATTTTGCAGGACAAGCAGGCGAATCGTCGCTCAAACGAGCACTACTATGACAGCTCGCGTGGCAATAAACATGAGCATCGTCGCTCGCGTGGTTCACGACAACATAACAATCTGCTTAATGCGGATAACAGTGATGTGGAGTATGATAACGGCAATATATCGCCGCTTTACAGCAATTGGGATCAGGTTAGTATTGACTAAACCGGTTTAGAATTATAAAAAAAAGAACAGTCATGTACATATGTACAAGTATGTATTAATATTCTTGTTTTTAACTGATTTGCAGGAAATGCATCAACACCTGCTTCCATTGAAGAACTACATTATGGAGCAAGCCAAATTGTCTGGACATTATGTATTCGGTGATCCCATCGATTCAGATTCCTATCATTCGGATAGCCAATCGGAACACTCGCTCTCCGGTCACGAGCCCGATAATGAGGATTCGGATGGTGGCTCAGACACGCATGGCGGTTATTTGGAGCATAATTATGGCATGATTGATGACTATGCCAACATGGATGACAGCGTGTCCTATTACGCATATCAATATCCACCTTATGATCCATCGGGACGTGAGGATATGTATGTTTATATATTTATTTTTTTTTTCTTTCGTAAAGTGTAATAAATTTTTATGCATTTTTCGCATTCATTTCACAGCTCAGACAATGTGGAAGCCGTTCTCGAGGGTATCGGCAGTCAGGGTGCCGAACGCGCATCGGAATTCGCACAGAAACCAAAACAACGATATCAAATCTCATTTTATGACACCGCGCATACAACGCACACTACACCAACACAACAACAACATCAGCAGCAATACCAACAAAAGCAACCAACGCTTGGTCATCATCAGCTTGGATCTCAAACACAATTACAACAAAATCAATTGTATTCGAATACACCAGCACTAGCGCCACATCATCACCTGCCACCACAACCGCCTCTACCACCGCATCAGCACCTTCAACTTGATGCCGATGCCAAACAAAAACAATCACAAACGCTTCCCTCACCAAATCGACAAATCTCACGCATCGCTCAGTCGGGCGGTGTCAGCGGTTCAACCGCCATTGATGGCAATAATACCGCGGGCACCGGTGTTGTCGGTACGGGCGGTGGCAGTGTGCGTCTGCATCATTATGCCAAAGATGAAAGTGGTGGTGGCACAGCAAGCATGTCGCGTACGCCCCGATTGCCACCGCCATCGCTGAAGCCGACAATACAGCAAATATTTCCACCCAGCGAGCGCGCACCACCTAACTTGGGCGGCCTGAGCACCACGCTGGTGTGCATGAAGGAATGTGATATTGAGAAATTCGCTGCGGACAATCTGAATTTGCATTCGAAGGGCATTTTTCGTAAAAAGGTAAGTGGTGTCTGCATAAAAAGGCCCAAAAGAAAGAATAATCAAGTAATGACAAGTCATGGAAATAATTTAATTATTACTCTTCATTAGTCTTCTGTACGCGATATGCTGAGCTGGACTCCGGAACCCATCAGTCGACCAATGTTGGCGCTGTCACGCGACAAATCGGACAAGAAAACTGCCATTGAACTCTTCAAGTTGGTGCAAATTTACATGGGCGATCGGAAGGCGCGTGTCGGCATGAGTCTCAATTCGGTAGCGATCGATATAATAGTCGCAGCGCTGCCACAGCAACAGTGAGTGCACCATATATCATACATAAATACATATGTATATAAGAATTATTTTAACAAGAAGTAATTTGCAATGAAATTCCGCAGGTTACGCGATGAATTGTACGTGCAGCTATGCCGTCAGACTACAGAGAACCCGAAACGTGATTCGCTGATACGCGGCTGGGAGCTAATGGCGATTTGTTTATCCTTTGTGCCGCCATCGCCCACATTCCAGCCAACTTTGTTAAAGTAAGCTTAAAGAAAAATTTTGGTATAAAATATTATTTTGAATAAATTGAATGTGTTTACAGTTATATGAATCGGCATCGTGATCCGGCCTTCGCCACGTCATTTCCGGAAGTGGGCAAATGGCCCATACATGTACAGATCTCACACTATGCAACTGTTTGCTGCAGACGTTTGGATCGTATCGGTAGTCATGGTCGGCGGCAGGCCAAGAGGCCCACAGAAGATGAAGTTGAGCAGGCGAGGGTAAGTGAGATTTAAATTAAGACTGTGTGACTATAAATCTAGGTCCTGAAGTACGATAAAAATTTCGGCTGTATTCATTGCTTATTTTGTCTGCAGCTGCGAAGGTTAGACGTATTTTTATTCGCCAGACATGGCTCCGTGTGACCTTTTCCTATTTCCAAAAATAAAGAGAACCTAAAGGGCTCCGAGTTCGGAAAGTGTTTCGACGATTGGAAGAAGCGCTGGCATAAGTGCATAATAGACATGAACATCTATTTGTATGTACGAGAACTAGTATCTCAGATATGTCTTTTCCTCCCCAGGAAGCTGCTTATTTGTCGGCACTGCCGTTATCGGACGACTATAGCAAGTAGCTGCCATACAAACTGAATGATCAAAATCAAGTGCTTATATGAAAACTGAAAAGACAGAAGTTTGGCAAGATAACGGTGCAATCTCCGAACAAATTATGCAGATCAGATTACCATAGCATATATGTAGCTGTCATACAAACTGAACGATCAAAATCAATTTCTTGTTTCGAAACTTTTTTATTTGTGAAGGGTGTTATAACTTAGATACAACTGAATTTAGCATTTTTTCTTGTTTTAGAATCAAATTCTACGCGTTAGCATGTTTGGCAACACAATCGCTGAGGTAATGGACTTGCAAAAGGATAAGTTCCCAAATCGCAAATTGCCGTGGATACAAACTACACTGTCCGAGCATGTAAGTAGTCACAAGCTGTTTCTTGATTTTTTTTTTACAATTTTATAAAACATATTTTTTATTAAATTTTAGGTTTTGCTTTTGAACGGCAAGCAAACGGAGGGAATTTTCCGCGTCTCCGCCGATGTGGATGAGGTGAATTGCTTGAAGAGTCGTTTAGATCGGTGGGATGTTCCTGATTATAAAAATAGCATGGGTAAGTTGTTGCTAATGGCTTAAATGATATTTATATATTATTATTGCATTATATTTGCTTTACCCACAAATGAAAAAAAAAATCAATTTTATACACAAACAGTGGATGCGCATGCGCCCGCTAGTCTTCTGAAGCTGTGGTATCGTGAATTGTATGATCCGCTCATACCGGATCAGTTCTACGAGGAATGCGTCAATACTGAGGATCCGGATAAAGCCAAAGAAATTGTTGATAAGCTGCCGGAGCTTAATAAGTTGGTAAGTACGAAAATATAAACGTGTATATTAATTGAAATTTGATTGCTCAAGTCAACATTAATGTTTTCGAATTTCTGCTACTAGGTTTTGACCTACCTGGTGCACTTTTTGCAACAATTCTCCCACACCGATGTGGTGAGTTGCACCAAAATGGATTCATCCAATCTGGCAATGGTTTTTGCGCCAAACTGCTTGCGTTGCACCTCAGACGATCCGAAAGTGATATTAGAGAATGCACGCAAAGAGATGGCTTTCATGCGCACACTCATACTACATATGGACACAACGCCTGTGGCGAATCTAACCTGAACGCACGACGTGCACCGAATGTAAATAAGTAAAACCATAGAGAAAATAAACTATGAAAATCAAGGTGATCGCTTGTAAAGGAGGACACAGCAGGATAGTTGTAGCTTAAGAACAGAAGATAAACACCAAAAAATAATATACATTTTTATTTGCATTATGATATTTGCAAAATTAATTATGAAATGCGTTTTTGCTTTGTTTTTCTATAAATAGTAATGTATTAAATAGTGTTTAAGTATACCAAAAAATGCAAAAAGAAATACTCATTTGGGAAGCAACACTGCAGATTTAAATAGAGAAAAACATCAAATCCATGTTATACATACATATATATACAGGTGTAAAAACATTATAAATAACTTATACACACATACGTATATATATATATATATATATATACAGTATACAAACTGTCAAACGCTTACAAATATTAAACAGTAAAGCATTGTATTTATTCAAAAGTAGGTCACAAACCGCAATACTCGTATATGCTTATGCATACACTCATACATATATATATATACAGACTCTTATATACATACCTAAATATATAATAAATATAAATATTAAATATATCTAACATAAAAATATATATGCGAATTATAAGGAAGCATGCCCAGATAATATTAGATAACCCCATAAAAAGGGCAACAACTATTAATGCTACTACTAATTGCTTTCTTCCGCTTTCTTTTCTAAAATACTATATGAAGATTATGTGAGCAGTAAAAAAGAAGCAGAGTTTAATTAATTGTGCATAGCGACAATGCATTTACGGGCATTTGGGTTTGTCGTGCGATTAGACGAAATTTCGGTGCGTGCGTGTGTTAGCAGTTACAATTCTAAATAACAGTAGTTGCATGCCAAAACTAATTAAAAAAATTAATAAAAAATTACTATAATTCTAGCTAAAACCAATTTAAGCCCATATAACAACGTTAACGTAATAGAATTTCGTAACAAAAAGAAAGCGCTTTGAATTTATTTTAGAAACGCAAATTGTAAAAATGCCTAAACAAACAAAAATTTACCAAATAATTAGTGACTAATATTAATTTTTCTACTCAGTATACTTTAGTTATACATTTATGTAGCATTTATAAAAATAATTAATTAAATATATATATATATATACATACATATATAACTACTAAACTGAAGCTACGGGAAATAATAAAGCTAAAAAATAATTAAATAAAAATTGTTCAATTAATAATTGTTAAAAGAGTAATCAAAAATTAACCGAAAAATACTTAAGCTCAATGTATTAGGTGAATAAATAGCATTGATTCGTAAAATTTATCCAGGAAAACGCGCACACACACACACAAATAATATGTATGTTTATAGTCAGAGTCTGAAAATTTGCGCATTCGCAAAAATAGCTCGTTGAATTACAGCAATATAATGAAATCTTAATAGTTGGGTTCGCTATCTGTTAACAATAACAAAAGTAGTTTACCGCTATATAGTAATATTTAGTTTGGACTTATGTACATACATACGCATATAATACATTACTATTAAACTATTAAATCATCTTTTATTTTGGATGGAAAATGTGTACGTCATGTTTATAGTTCTTTGCGTTTTAGCAAAAGTCTCGCTGTCGAACTACCAAAATGCGCAAATAGCGTCTTTCTTAAAAAATTCCAAATGGAAATAGTTTTTCGAAAATTTTGTGATTGATGTTACAACTTCTTAAAGTAATAATATTTTAGACTACGCGAAGACGCCTTACAATATTTCTTACTTTGTTTTTCCTCGACATCACCGCAAAAAAAAGAAGTAATTGCGGCATCCAAAATATTTCAGCGGTGCTAAATAGTAATAAAAAGTCTAGAAAGAGATAGATGATTCATTTTATATGCATTTTTATCTGGTCTCAGCTTATAACAAAAATTGTTAACAAATAACGTTTCTTTATTTACGTTTTAACCTTTTAGCTAAAGTAAAATCTAACCTTATCCATAATTTTCTCTTTTTGCTATTTTTGCAAAGATTTTTAATGAAAAAAGAAAATTAATTAATAAAAATAAATTGAATTTAACAAATTTTGCCTTGATGTTTTTTCCAAATGAATATTATATTTATGTGTATGTATGTACAGACTTCTGAAAGTTATATGCAGGTTTTTTAATTTAATTATTATTGATTTTATTTTTGCGTCTTAAAAACAACAGCTTAACACAACTAAGAATGAAGAAAATAAAATTAACAACTTAATAACCAATATTTGCATTAAGTAGTAAATAATGAAATAATAAAATAATAAATAAACACTAAATTCAACAATACAATCTCTAGAGACATTACAGAACTGCATGCTAAGTTATTTAAAATAAATTATTATTGTTTTTTAAACAAACAAAAAATGCAAAAAGTAATTATTATTACGTAAAAAGAAATAAACAGTTAAAACCTAAAAATTTAATCACAATTCAAACCCCAAATAATTAATTGTTGAAATTAAAAATATCATATATGTATACTACAGTAACCTATTTTCACTACCACTACAATGTGCAACAACAAAGTATTGCTCTAACAATCTACCAAGGCAACACTAAATATGAATGATTAATGAAAGCGATAAAAATGGCCCACAACAACAATAACTTATGTAATTAAAAGTAGCTACAGAATTACAAATGTATAAATATAAACAATTAAATAATTAACATGTTCGAAAAGATTTATGCATTTCTCTACTAAACTAAATACAGTATATAATATATTAAATATATACATACTTATGTATATTATATGTATAAATATATATATATATATATACATCTAAATAGCAAATAAAAATCGAATCAATGATGTCATTTAAAGAAGCATAAAAAATTAAAATGTGCATTACTTGCTTATAAACACGAAGAAGGCATTGAGAGAGGTTGCACCGAAGCTATAATACACTTCACAAATGAAAAAGTTTTTATACAAGGACGTGATTTCCAATGAGCGTGTGCAAAATTATAGATTGATATCTCAAAAACTGAAGGACTAGTTCGCATATATACAGACGGACATGTGTAAATCGATCAGCTTGTAACGCTGATCATTTATATATGTATGTATATATCTTATAGGATCTCCAACGTTTCCTTCTGGTTATTATAAACTTCGTATTAAACTTAATTTACCCTGTTCAGGGTATAATAAACTGGTTACGGGTAAGTTGCAGATTAGCAACATAGAGATATATTACAAATATTAATATTCTATCATATTAAGCGGGTATTCTGGTTTAGAGTCTTGAATTTCAGGTTTTGAAGTGTCGTGAAAAAAAACAATTGATATTTTTACTATCCTTTTTTGTATTAGTTATTTATAAATATTACATGAACACAAAAAAAAAATAAAAAAGATTAAAAATTTCGAAAATTAGCAGCTGATGAAGTGCCGTTCGGAAAAAATTGGCACGTGATCATACCTACGATTTCAACCCTCCTCCTAGCAATCTGAAACCAAGCAAGAAAATATTATTCTAGTTGTAGAATAATGTCGCAGCAATGTCTGGTTCTACGAAAAAAAAACACAATTCTTATACCACTTATTTAGACTGTTTCGATGTTTTTTAACATAGTAAAAATTTAAATTTTGGCATATAGCTAGTTCCAGCCAAGGACAAGTCTATAAAGAGGATTCTCTAACAATTTCAGGTAAATCCGTCTAGCAGAACTTGACAATCGTAGAGAAAAACGCTTTTAAAGTTTTCAAAACTGGCCGATTTTTTATTTGTAGACCAGAATATCCCCTTAAGTAACTTTTTTACTACTTACTTTTTTTTCCTCTTCCTCCATCCAAATCGGCTTTATCATCGCATTGTATAGCAGAGCTTTGTCAAGGCTAAGTTTAGAAATTTTGTTTAAACGACAGTTTAAATTGCTGCTCTTATTTTCATGCTAATTATTTTACTGGATATACATATGTGTTCTCCATGTGAGCCTTCTGTCTAAGTGAACGCCAAGCTGCCATATTTTTTGTCTTAATGAGTTAGTGCTTACACTTTTGTTCATTTAAATTTATGCGCCAGTTGGCTAACCAATCTTCGATCAAAGCTAAATGCTCTTCTAGTACTCTTGACGCTCTGATAGAACATTTATTACGGATTACGAATGGATGGATGAACTGAGATGAAATTAGCTACTTTAACAGTAAATTTTCTATTTTTGAATGAATATTCCCATATTTTATATAATGCCAAAAGGAATATTGTGTTAATTTTATATAAAAAGTCCTTCATGCACGAAACCCGAATTGGTAATTGCATTATTCTATTTCAAATATTTTGGAAAGAAAGAAAATCGTTATTATATTGCTATTGTTTTTAAGCAAAATCTTTTATGGAATTTTTATACATTTTCATATTTAAATTTTTTATACCGCTATTAAAAATAAATTTTTAGTTTTTACTTTCGTTTTTGGACTTACAAGCTTTTACAACTATTATATACAATTGAAATTTTTTTTGTGTCAATTATATTTAATTTTTCAGTAAAAAGTTGAAAGGTGTTAATACATTGACATTACAGTAGTTAAATATATTTGCTTAAATCAATTTTGACAGCATATTTTTTTTTGATGTGTGCGATCTTATGCTTCTGAAATGACTATAAAAATTAAAAATTATATGCACAACTTTTTATTTATTTTTTATTCACAATGTAAAAGTAAACTTAGTCACATATTTTTCGCTTAAATCCTAAAATAAATATACATTTTTTAACACTTAAATTTAAAACTTAAAAAAACTTAACGCAATCCCCCCTCCCTCTAATTTATTCAACATTTTATTGCTTTTCGCTCCTTCTTACGCCTTCTCTTCATCGCTGTCTTCAACATCATCGATATCATCATCGTCTTCTCCCTCTGAAAGTACATCACGACTACTATCGATTTGATCGCTGCTGTGCGATGCAGCTCCACCACTACTGCCAGCCAGCGCTTGGTTCAAAATATGTGAAGGTGGTATCCGTTTAGTATTGTTGGAGCGACGCCATTTGGCACGTCGATTTTGAAACCACGTCTTCACCTGACGATCGGAGAGTTTGAGTTGAAGCCCAAGGTGTCGTCGTTCTTCGGGTGACAAGTACTTTGAGCTAGCGAAGCGATTCTCAAGACTTTTCGTTTGTTGGGATGTGAACCGGATTTGACCGCCCTTACGTTTAACACCAAAGTTGGGCACATAAAAGCCCGGATAGACAGCATTGCAGTAGAGAGCAGCAGCGGCGGCGTTACCAGGAAAACCTATTAAAAAAAAGTATAAGAGAGAATTTTATTATTAAATTCCAAATTAAAGATAAATTTAAATAGTTAATTTTGCAAATGCAGTAAAGTAAATTAAAAGTTTGGCAATAAATAATGGAAAATCATAATTTTTCTTTCGAGTCACCCTGCATTTAACATTGCTCTTTTTTTTCATGATGACATTTGATTGGTGTTTTGCGGCCATAAATACTGTTGCTCACAAATAGCAACAAAACTTGCTTGAGTGAAGAAACACCGTAATGAATAGGCAATACTAATAACATGCACACACAAACAAAATCATTACATATTCGCTCACCCTTATCAAGCCTTAACATTGTTGTTTTCTCTCTTTCGCTCGCTCTAGTATTGGACTATCGCAGTCAGAGCCATTGCAAAAGCATCAAAATGATTGTGTGGGTACAGCAATAAAAAGCCAATTACTGCCATAATTGCTATCATTTACAGTTGGTTTTTTGGTTTAACGCTATCACGCAATATATAGCACAAACAACAAATTATAGATAACAAATATCAATAACTAATATAGATAACTGTGATATCTTTATGTATAATATATCCATATACAGATATTGAAAAGCCTTCACTGCATGAGTGGGCGTTTTAGATAGTAGGCGAAAAAGGTTCACTAAACAAATTCAATCTTTAATGTCGGTACTTAGCAGCGTTTTTATTATTTATTCATATTGTATACAATACGCAATGGAAATATGTTTAGTGAAACTTCATTGGCGCGTGATTGCCTAATTTTAGAAGTCACCAGCTTTTATTTGATAGTGAGAAACAAATGCCAAATTAAGCTCTTATAATATTCCTCAACTGAACACTAGCTGTATCTCGAAAAAATATGGAGAACACATGATTTGATAAAGGGAAATGTGGACAGTAATATTAGTCCCGTTATGAAATGAGGGATTGCTGTGCATTAAGTCGCGTTTTTTTATTTGAAATTTTATAATGCTTGCTTAAATTTGTTATATTGCAGATATTAAACTGTCACACGACAAGTAAAAGTTATTTTCACGAAAACGAAATGTAGTATACAAAATTAAATTATTTGTAGCGAATGGCCATTAGACAAAAGAACTTTAATCTATCTGTCTGTCTTATGTCTATCTTACATAACCAATATATTTTGTTATCAATTTACAATTTATTTCAGAAAACTGTTTTATTTTATTTGAATTAATGAAATATTATTAAGCCCTTTTTCCTAAGTAGAACAGCTATATAATTTTAATTGAGGTAATGTTTAAACACATGTGTGTAATATGTGTAAAAATTTGAAAAGACAATTCCTTTCCATTTTCCAATTATAATAATTTGGTATCTAAAGTAGGGAAAATAAAAAATTTTAAATGTAGGAAATGTAGGAAAAGAAGGTTTCATAGAAAATTTCATGTAAATTTCCTCAATACGACTTTAGTCATCTTACCACACGTATGTAAGGAAGTTCTTTCTAGGAAAGCAGTTAAAAAATAATATTATTTCAAGAAATTTGAGTCATATAATGAATATTTAAATAGTTGGATACTAAACTTTATTTACCTTTTGAGGCCAGAAATATTGCAAATTTAAAAAAATATTAATTTTTTTAATTCTAACCCAGTAACTTTTTTACACATTATTTTTGCAATTTATTTCAAATTTAATATTAATAGTATAACAGACGCATAAAGCAAAGGAAAACTCATCTGTAAGCTTCGACAAAAAATCTAACCTCTACTTACATATATTATCAAATAAAATGTACAAGTAAACCTCAATAATAAATAAAAAGAAATAAAATAAAGCCCATAACGGCAAAATTACAGCTCAGTATACAATGTTTTTAGATGTCTTGTTCTGTAGGATATGTTTGAGATAAGAAATAAAAGAAATTCCAGGACATATCCAATGGATTAGCAGTGAGAGTGGCAATGAATTAATCAATTGCATTGATTTACAAAAACAAAAAAAAAATGTAGTTAACTGCACCTCTTTATTGGAAAATAAATAATTTTTTTGCCTTTTTATAGCATAACTTCCATAGCATGTGCATCCCGTTACAACATTATTAAGCTTATCAACTTATTTTCCCTACCGCCTCTAAATTTTTATACTTTAGTACACCATCGTGTAGGTACATTACATTTTCTATCAATAAAATTCCCACTTTATAATTTCTGCTTTATCATGCTCATAATACTAACTTCTCACGTTTGGTAGTATTATTGAGAACTGAGCTGTCAAATCCTTGATTATTTTCATAGCAAAGAAATATAATTTTTCATAAATTTCAATCATCTAATACGTGTAAACTAAGGTAATGTATGCCTTAAATCTATAAATAACTATATATAGAAGAACAAGACTCGTACTCGTAAAATATGAAAAGGGCTTGCTCTCGAACTTTTGCTTGCAAGCAATTGTACAATATATAATAGACTTGAGAAGTATTTTACATGCTTCACCTGACTCCAAAAGGTGTATACATAATAACAAGCGAAAGTTTGCCTACATGCGCTATATCTAGTGTTGAATCGATGATTAGGGAAAAATATCTAGCTAAATTGCTTTTTTTATTTTTATTTTTATTTTTTTTTTAATTTTGGTGTGTTTAATAATATTTCTTGTAATTCTGTAAACAGAAATAAAAAATTGTAAAGCGAAATCTGCCGTCCTTCCACATTTGCGGCCCAAGCCTTCAGCCTACTTCAGCCTGCTGGTAAATCCGCTACTAGACATACTCGTATACCTTTTGCTCACAACGGTAGTCGCAGACATTGTCAACTTACATCGATTATAATTGATTAATGAGCATTGTTTGTTTGCACTCCTGTCGACAGCGGCTCCAATGTAATCAAAATTCGGTTGCAGCTAAGCGCCAACTGTTTTACAATTGGTATCATCCATTTTAGTGATATGTATACATATTTATATATAATTATGTGTTCTTGGTATAAATTCATACTTATATATATGTATGTATGTGTAATTATTTATAACTTCAAACAGTTATTTATTAGTTTGCTTTTGCTTCGTCTGTCCGCATGTTTGTTTGGCTGTTTATTTGCTTATCTCCTTGATTCAAGTCAAGTGTTGGCGCCAAATGACATTCGATGGCGTATTAAATGCACTTTTTGTGGCACTTCAGCCGCCTAAGAAGCATAAAAGTGCCGACAACAACAATAACAGTACTCATTTTGAAGAAAATACATACAATGGAAGGGTGCTAGGAATGGTAGAACCATCAAATGCTCGAACCCGATGTATACATACATATATCTAATATTAATTATACATATATTAATATTAAATATTTTTTTATTATATAATCTATTGTATATACATATGACTTAACTAAAAACACTGTTTTAAGGAGTTGCCACCATAATTATATAAGTAAGGATTCTATATTTATATTATTTAATTATCGTTAAAGCTGCTACACTAAGTACATGTTGGAAGGAACTTGTCATCACTATTACGTTTTTAAAAATGTACTAACTTAAATATTTAAATGTAAAATATGCAATAAGCTGTGAGCTTTATTATTCTTCAGATCAAAAAGTAAGTGTTTTAGTTGTTATTATTGTTTTGTTCTTTCATTTTCATTTCCGAATCCCTCTCCTCATCTCTAAACGGCACCACTACCACCAACGGTGCATTGCTCGCCCTAGTTCAACACAAAAGCAAATAAACAAACTTTGATTTAACACTTTTCAAGTGGCAGTCTTTAAGGGGTAATACGTAGTAAAGCGAAGTAGTTAAATATTTGTGGATTTGTATGTGCATGTGTGTACGTGTGTGTGTGTTTGAATGTAAAAGAGGCATTTCTAACAACCACACATAACATTTTGGTGGCTCCCCAACCAAGTTCTAACAGTCGTCGGGTCAGGAACAGCAGTTATTGCCTTATCACACATCATACTTATAATATCTGCTGTCGAAATTTTTTCAAAACAATAAAGCAGAAGCAAAAAACAAATGAAATTGTGTGTACAACAACTTGAAACATTATATTTGCACTCAACAAGAGAAATCGATCGAATGTAAATGTGAAAAAGAAAAAAAAAATGTTCTAATGTCCATTGGGTTGCTTTATCTCTTAAATAAAAAGTGCTATTAGTGGCGATTAATAAGGTGCTGTCCATCAACGGAGCCCGCAATAGCCGATAAGCGCGGTGTGGACAAGCACACACACACACACAGCAAGACAGAAAGGTATTGGTGTTAATATGTTATTAGAATTTTCAAATAATGAAAGTGATTAAATTTTTTTTATTATTGAGCGAAATTAATGTATCTTTCAACGAATCAAACACGCAAATACATTATATATACGTAAATATGTATGTGTATAATTGTAGTACGTCCTCCCGTTTGCTCCTCTTAACATCATGCGCGCATAATTTTTTTTTTCACTTCAACTTATCTGTGCACTCGAACGAAACATCGTTTAATAGGTAATACCAGCACATACGATTACGTATTTATATCTACATACATATATGATATACATTTATATGTCTGTATATTTTAAATTATGATCATTTCAATTTGGCTGTTTGCTAAACAATTATTGTGTGGTAGTAATTCGTTATATTTCAAGCTATTAGAAACAAAATTTATAATCTGCAATTAAGTTGTGTGGCGGATGTTTGGTATTTCTTGCGGGTGATGACATGTCTACGCATGTTAAGTAGCAGGAATTTTTAAGGCGAAAAATTGCCTTTACTTCGCTAGCATTTTTGAAAGTCAAAATAAGATTTTTTCATTTAAATGTTTTATGCTGTAAAATTATTATTGTATGGTTCACAAATTTTAATAAATAAAATATTAATCCTTATTTTAATACATATTTTCGTTTTTTTTTTTCAATACATGCCTTTGTGTTTTTGTATTAGAATATAAAGTACTCAATCTTCCAACTATATATAAGTACTATATGTGTGTGTTTAGCCCCTGAAACCACCTTTTTGTTATTAACTATTCATTTCTATTCACTATTAAAATCAATTGATTAATAATGATTTTCGTATTATAATAAAAAAAAAACTTCTAATATCATTATATTCCATTAAGAAAATACTTTATTTTCTGTATTTCAAATAGTGTCTTTTTCGGTGAAAGATTTCTTGTCAAAATATTATATTTATTTTATTTATTTATTTATTTAAACGCCAATCGGCAATATACATAGATATAATAAAGATCTGGAAAATATTTAAATAATTGTAAGTTAATATGTAATTCAGACTTGATTTAGATGTAATTCAGACGAGCAGGTGTCTCTTGGTGTTTTCGGTAAAAGCAGCCTCCATAGAAATCAATTTCACCTTTAAGTGTATTTACTAAATTAGCCAGTCTATTCAGAGGACCATGGATAATATAATTTTTCTTGGATTTCGATGTTTTTAGTAATCTATTTCGCCTCAGGGTAAGACTAGCAGGGGCGAGTTCAAAACTGTTTAGGATCTCATGAGCATCAGTGATGTTATTGATTACTTTGTAGAGTTTTGGTATTTGTCCATCATAAATGAAACGGTAGCTATGTGGCACTCGATGATCTCAAGAGTTGATTGAGGAGGTATGTAGATGCAGCCGATGATCATATCGCGAGAAGCTCCCTTGACACGGATGAATTTGCTCTAAATCGTTGTTTGTTATTGTAATTTGTTCTGTATGGAGACTACGTTTACAGGCGATGAAGACACCACCACCACGTACCTGCTCGTTGATGGGAGAAACACAGTCTTTACGGTAAATACTATATGTTGAATCAATGACTTCACCATCACATATGGATGAGTGAAGCCAGGATTCCGAAATACATACAACGTCGTACTGGTTAGCCGCCAATGCTGTTTGAGGTTTCAATATCCTTTGACGGTGGCGGTATGTGTTGTGTTGTATTTACTTTTTTGGGTGGCATTTTGTAAGTACACGATACAGGAAAAAACAAAAGATATGTTCCAAATAATTCCGGAGTAATTTTTTTATTTTCGTGTATTATCAATGTATTAATTCACTTTATGATGTCTGATTCACAATCAATGTTAATGTTTGTTATGCTTTTTATTATTACACGCACACATCTTTCTTTGTTGTACGAAATTCAATTATGGTTCAATATCAAAATTTAATCGAACTTTTCTTTGTACATCCTTTACATTTTCGTATAAGAATTATTATTTTCTTTTAAGGAAACTTATATGAGGCATTAATTTAATATTCTTTCACTTTTATATATACAATTGATGTAATATTTTCAGATATTACGGAGCACTTTTCACTATGCAGACTGCACATGTTCACAGCTACCTAACCAAAAAATATATATCAAGAAATATAATTATTCGCGGTGGTTACTCTATCATAGATAATATAAAGGTCACATCTGTGAACAAACAAGTACCATTGACTATTTTATTAAATGTTAGAGATTGAAGGTAGAAATCAAATCAATAAACCAAAAACTAAATTTTAGAGACTCAATGTTTTTTGCTAACCTTTTAAGCGTTTTAAAAAGATATATCCACTTATGGATCCAAAAAAATCAATATTTTCATAAAAATTAAATATTTTATTCAAATTTCTTATTATTCCAAAGATACATATTTTACAAAGATTTTGTGAAATATTCAAAGGAAAATATAATATATTCAAAGAAAAAACTCGGTTTAAGTTTTAAGTGATTATATAGCTGAACTCGAGCGCGCAACTTTTCAAAGCTATACCTCCAAAGCTCTAACTGGGATCAACTTGCGAATTTAGGGCAATATTCTAGATATACAATATTATAGAATTAAATTTTTCTTTTGAAGCCGCGAAACCCATGTAACCACTTAAGCCACTCTGAAATGTAAAGTTTTTCACAAAAATCTAGTCTTTTTTTGGGAAACCGCCATTTTGTCAACAATCGAAACCAAAATTGTTACTAGTCTTTAAATTATTAACTGTATTTATCTGTCATAATTCAAATGTAAAATTCAAAAAAATAAATAAATAAAAAATAAAACGAACTTTTTTCTGACAAGCAAGTTAATATATAGGTTATATGTTATACATTATTTAAATTTTTGTGTTCATTTGAAAACTATAAGTTGTAGTGAATATATAGTGAAGTGAATATACATATATGTTATGTGTGTGGCAACCATACCTTTATATATGTATATATTTTGGATATTATAAATAACCTAAATATTGTAAGGAAATGCATTCTTGGTAGAAAAAATATTTAAGCAGACTTAACTAAAAACACTATTTTAAAGAGAATACGAATTTTCCCTGTAAAGTAGATATAAACTCTTTAGGTATGTTGTACTTAAAATACAATTTCAAGTTCAAACAATTAAGTCCGATACAATATATTAAATACTAATATTATGATTTCCATACCATATTGCATTAATTAGATCACGTAAGGCTCGTCGATGCGTTAGCCAATGCGGCAACATATGTCACGATGCAAACTGAAATTGTGCATATGAAGCAATTTTAACGAGCCTAATTTTTCAATATGTATGCAAGTAGACTATGCTTTCTTGTGTCAAAAAACTATTAACCAGATTAGGTCATGTCTATACCTCCATGCATACATACGTACAATGATTAATTTAAAACTGTTATAAGCTATAGCTGTTGATCGTCTTATTCATACCGAATATTTGCGTAAAATTCTTTTAATGTTAAATTAATACCGTTGTTATTAATATATAAACAGAGGAAGTAAAATATTAAAATTAATGCCAAAATAAAAGGTGTTTCATGGTTAGGAGTACCTAAAACGAAACTTGTATTATTGTGACTGAAGTTTTGTATAAGTATAAGTTTATAATAAACTATTTAGCGAACATTAAGGAGAATGGTGATAATATTTATCTAGGAGTCGACTAGTGTAGATCATAGAGAAAATAAAATATAATCCTCGTACCCTAACTAGTATAACTGAACTTAATTTCAGTATCACTGAACTCGTGTACTCTTTTAAGTTAAGAGAATTTTCGGCTTTGGTGAGATTTCGGCATGGCTACTTTTAAATTGGGGACTGTTCATCTTTGCTAAATCTAGTTCTAAGAATTTTGATACGAATATGGAAATTTTATACGATTTAGCTGTCAAGAAATATATAAAAGATTAAACCACAGTGAAATCGCACTTTTATATTGTAAATCAATTGATTTATACGTAATTGCCCTAATATAACATATAACAGATGGCAAAAGATATTAAAATATACAAAACTTCAAAACAGCACTTTTCTAGTGCAAAGTTCTTTAATTGCATGTTTGATCGACGGCTCTTGATTTTCATCTTTTCGAAGGAAATATAATTTTCAGGTTACTCTCCAATTTATATTTTTATGATTGGTATCTATTTCTACAAAGCATTTCTTTTACAGTCTGATTGTTATGACACAAGTTTTCATACGAAGTATTAGTTAAATTAGCAACGAGCACTCGGTTTTATTATAAAGCGAACGGTATTTTTTGCCAAAGCTGAACTGATTATTTTTTGTTGCAGTTTATTAGTTGTAATAACAATTGCCACTATTAAGAAGAACAAATTTCGTAGAACACTCACCTTCGCATTCCAAAAAGGGATTGTATTGATCGCAATAACCCGACGGCGTTACCGCAGCCGCCGCTGCCGCCGCTTGAAAGTGCGGCATAAATAACGCTGAGTTCTTCTGCATATTCAGCATCTGTTGATAGATCAGTGTAGCGGGATCGTAAACGGGTTCGAAGCGCAATGCGCCCGGAGTTGGCAACAGAGGTGGGCCGCCAGCGCCATAATCACTCTTGAGCAGTAGATTCTTGAAAGCGTATTGTGCATCCGATGTAAGCGTGGAATAAGCTGTTGTCGCGATGGGATTGGCGATTGTTGGTGACATCGGTTCACCGATACGTGACTGCAGTGTGTGTGCCAGGGTGTTGGTGCTAGTGTTGCTTATGGCTGTGGATGTTGCACTTATCATTTTTGCAAGCGGCTGCAAGTGTTCAATTTTATGGCCGTTACTATGCGCGGCGGGCGGCGTAGATAGCATTTTATGCTCTAATATATTCGCGATGGAAAAGGAGGATTTATTGCTGATCGGTTTTGTGTTTGTGCTCGTTGTTTCCATTTTGTGAATTAGAAAGTCACTTTGTAGTATAATAACCTTTTTTTTTTAATTGTGTGTGTATGTGTGTTATTTTTTATGATTTAAAATTCAATTTCTTTAATTTAAATACGATTAGGAAGCGATATGTATCTGCATATGCATATTTGCTTCTGGTCTACTCATGCGTTCCACCACTTTACAGATCGCTTGTCTTGTTGTTGATCACTTTCGGCGAAGTGTCGCGCCGAATGCCCAAAAAACGAAATCAACGAACCGCACACAACGAGTCGTCGAGAACTAATAAATTGTGTTAAATCAGATTTCCATACAAAATAAAATAATGATAATGTGCAGGTAATAGATATCTCTATTAATAATATTAGTTGTCATAATGGTTGAAGGTATCAAGGTATCGCACCATTGATGATAGTGCCCAATGGGTGTTGCTGATAAGACGCGCTGTGTTAACGTTCTACACAGCGGTAAGAGGTAAGCTCGCACATGTCTGTATGTGTATATATAAATAACAGTTTACAGTGTTCCAGTATTATATTTTTTGGTGTTAATTTTATAATAATACAAGCGTAGAAGCGTTAACTGTCGCTATAATAGTAACTTAACGATGTCTATACTTTTCAATACTTTTTTAAAGATATAATAATAACAGCAACAAGACGTGTACACTTTCTATGGAAGTTCGATAGTATATATTTTTCAAAAATATTCTTCACATTTTGAGATTATGTAAAAAAATATAGACTCTTAGGAGCTAATAGCTCGAATCGTTGGTGTGTTTTTAGAAGAAACACTGACACAACCAGTTCCGGTAGTAATGCGTTCTGATTTCAATTTATACGTACGTACTTGTATATCCCTTTGAAGACTTTTTGTACAGGTTCTATGCAAGAAATCGATGACACACTATTGAAATGATGCGAAGTTATTAGTCGGCTTTGAAACTGTAAACTTCGTGAAAGGAGTTCAACTCGAAATTAGTGCTAAACGAATATTGGCTTACATATTACAACCTTAAAATCATAGCTTGGACGTTTTCTTGTTCATAGACTCTACGTTGGATCGAGGCCTACGGATAAATGGTATGATTAAATACACATACCATACAATACCAAATATACACAGGCAATTTAGACAATTTAGCAGACCATTAGGTTTTATGAACTCATATCGCCCCCGAAATTGAAGCTTGGCGCATTAAACAAACAACTGGCATAAATCTAACAGAGTGTCAAAACCAAATGAAGATAGAAAAACAATAATATATTTCATTTAGTTTAGGTGGTCTGTTTTCTCTCTTGTATGCTGCTCAAACACAATTAAAAGGGAATCAAAGATAACTATTATGTAAGAAAATGTCAAATATTGACGAAATTTATTAAATATTTATATATGCTTCTAATAACATGACAACCACTGTGTAGCTTTATTAAATTAGTAGCTAGTGACAACCGACAGCCGATATCGGCGATTTGGGCTGAAAGTGTTTAGCCTTCGTAAATTGATGTACCATAAAATTGAATTACATATGCAGGTTTGTATGTATGTGTGCTTATTTTGTATTGTGTGTATATATAAATATGTATTTATCGTGAGCGGTGAGTTGGTTAAGCGCGTATTGTCCTCTTTGCGGTCCTTTTGATCGCCTAATAGTTAATCACCGCTTATCAGCTCGTTGAGCTACTGTTAATCATTTATATATTAGGCTATGCATTTATAGTATATCAATTTTATAATATTTATAGCCCGCGCGCGATAGCAGACTACCAAAATAATATCACAAACCAAAAACAATACACACATCAAATGTGTTGAATAAAGATATATGAAATACCTACATAACAATAATTTTGTACAGTTTGAATTTCGTTTACATCCCTTTTGCTCTAGCTCTAGCAAATAGCAAAATATTTCTGATATATATCTACATATATATTATATATGTATAGGTATGCACTTTTATATACCTATGTACATATATATGTATGTATATTTAAAAGAAAATATATTTTATGTGACTACTGAAATTGGCAGTTTAATTAGGTAGAGTGAAGCACTTTATTAATTATTTGTGATTCATGGCTGCGGGTGGAAGGGAGTGCGAATCGTGCGATGGCAATTGATAAATCGAAAATATAATATTATTTTGTATAACTTACTCATTTTGCCATATATGAGTATACAATATATTATACATTATATAAATATGTATTTAATAGGAATTTCAATTACTTATCGCATATGACAGTCACTTGTTTCTAGATTTTCTATACATTCAGTGCTTAAGTTCCATTTGGAGGAATTATTCTTTAGCATAAGAAGTGTATTTTAAAGTGTTATGCATATATACCTACCTTATATACGTTTAAGTGTTTTTATATATGGAATGTGTTTTATTAAGTTTACCACGAATTTTTTAAAATTCAGTATATAGCGTCGAAGACTCTATAAATGAGATCTGCTCATCTGTATATACGCAAAATAGACCTTCAGTTATTGAGTTATCGCTCTGATTATTTGCACGCGTCCTTTCCGCCCCAAGAAGCTGCTCATTTGTCGGAACCGCCGATAACGGATCACTATAGCATATAGCTGCCATACAAACTGGCCAAAATGAAGTCCTTGCATGTAAACTTTTTTATTTATAAAGGTTATTAAAGGTTCGGTGCAACAACAGTTAACGCTTTTTCTCATTTACTGCTTGATTCATTTAATAAAAAAAATTCTAATATTATGACAGTGTACGGTACCTAAACAACGCTTATTATGCCACTCCTGTTTACATAGGGTATGTGTGTGAGTATATCTATATATCGCTTGGCTACATGTAATTTATCAAATTCACACTTTAATGGGTACTAACCAAACGTATTCGCCTTATTCGCCAAAATACTTGCTAGTACTATGCTGCGATTGGCTTATAGTTCTTATACATACATTTATTTATCAATATAGCGGCTTAAATATCATTACCCAGCTAATGTTGAATATATATATTTAGTACCAAATATTTTTGACTCTATTGAATAAGCAATGATACTCAAATATTTCAAATATCATTTGTTAATGCTTGAAATAGCTATTATTTGTGTCGCATCATTCTGATTGATGTGTCAAGATAACGAGCCGAAACATACATCGAAGTTGGTATCTGAGTGGTTCAGAGTTGCAAATGTGATCTGTATGCAATGGCCTAGTCAATCCGCTCATCTTAAACCGATTGAGAACTTGTAGAGTGACCTTAAGAGAAGATTGGCAGTCTTTTCTTTTCAAAATAAGCAGCAATTGTGGCGGAAAACAAACGAACTTTGGGATGCTACCCCATTAGAAACCGGCCATAAATTAATTGGAAAACTAATGAAAACCCACGGAGGATATACAGGTTATCAAAAACCCATGGACCGAAAATAGTATAATTCGATTTTTTTTATTTTAATTAGAAAAAAATATTTTACACCTACTATTTTGACCAAAAATATTTCTTATTTTGAAAAAATAAAATCAGTTTTCAAATTCGGAATGAAAGATTTTCAACATATATATTATATGTTTAATAAAGTAAAGCGCAAATATGTCTAGAACAAAATTGTTTTAATAGCAAATACTTCAAAGTTATTAAATAAAAACTGTTTACACCTATTATTTTGTCCATAAGTGTATATGTCTATATAAAAATATTACAATATGCATATACGAGTATATGTATAGGTATATAATGTTGCTATCTGCCGTTAAATAGTTTTTATTATGTCATTTAATAGCTAAATACTCACTAAAAGAAATATCAAAAAAGCAAAATAACCAAAAAATATTGAAGAAGCTTAAGTCGTCCTAAGATAAGCATTGATTGATTGACTAATACGAGCATGGCTATGATTCTTATGCAGGTAAATATAGTGTCATTTCACACACACCACAAATGCACACATCCACGCAAGCATAATTGTGTGTAAATGAATAAAGTTAAATGTGTACGCCTGTTACATGTGTATATGGTACAAATCCCTTAGCTAAGCGCATATTTCCGTAATGAAGACTACTAAGGGTTAAATAATATTGTTTTCATTTGTATTTTATTGCAGTCATAAAGTCATAGTCTATGTAAATAATAAAATTTGGAAATTTGGCAGCGTGGATTTTTATTTGATTTCCTTTGAGCTGCATTTTGCCGATGTTCGATAAAATTTTTTATTTATTGGCGACGTAAGTGCAGCGTTATGTGTTGGCCACAATTGTCTAGCTGATGTAGGTGTACAAATTCACACCCTCGGTAGTTAATTTGACTTAATTTGGTTTTTATGACCAGAAGTTTATTAGGGATGTTCATATAATTTTTAATACACATTTAACAGCATCTTACTAATGAGAAAAAAAAATTTAAATACTACATAAATATTTGAAATTTAAAGGTCTATAAAAATATATTTTTAAGCGCAATCAACAATGAAAAGTTTGAAAACTTTTTCATGAATTCGCAAATAAACTACTCACCCATAACCCATAGAAAAGCTCGAGTTGACCCATGAAACTTAGGTGTAGCCAAATAGTCCTAGTGCGTTTGGGATTTTGTGTACAAGTATACGCGAACTAGTGCCTCCGTTTCTGAGTTATAGCGCAGAAATTTTTAACACATTCTTTTTCCCTAAAGAAGCTAGTAATTTTTCAAAACCGCTGATATCGGACCACTATTGGCTATAGCTGCCATACAAACTGAACAATCGAAATCAAGTACTTGTAAGCAAAACTTTTTTATTTAACAAGATATCTTCACGAAATTTTGCATAGATTATTGTTCTGAGCAACACTACAATCTCTGAATACGTTGTTTAGATCGGACCACTATAGCATATAGCTGCTGTACAAGCTGACCGATTAAAATCAAGATAAAGATCTTTTTATACCCTTTTATGCAATAAAAATGCCACTGTGCAGGGTATTGTAGCTTCGATGCAGCTGAAGTCAATGATTTTTCTTGTTTTATTGTTTTTTTTTCAAAACTTACTTCCTACAGGGTCTTTTCTCCATGTGACTATCTAACTAAAAGCCAACAAACACACTGACAACACAAGCAATCTTTATTCAATAATAAAAGGCAATTAATAAAATTATAAACTAATGCACGGCAGCGTATTTATATTATATTTTATTGTTAGGGGATTTGTGTGGGCGGCATCAATTGAATTGATACGTATCCATACAGGTGCAGTTGGGAAGGGTGCAGCGTGGCGCCAAATTCGATAGATGACCCATTGTGACGGGAAAGCTGAGTGGCACAAACCATTTGGGGTAGGCGCAAATGGCCGGTGTGCCGGTGGATGCGCTGGAGCCGCTAACACTACTCACAGTTAATCCCGATTTGTGAGCGTACTGAAATGATTGGCGGAATTTTAACAAAGATTAGATTAGATTAGGAAAATTTGCATGCAATTTTAGTGCTAGTGCTTACCAACTCCGCTGTGACTGGCTTAAAGGCGCTCCGGATAGGCATTGTTTTTACTGCTGTTGTTGCGTCAATTGTTGTGCTAGCAGTTGCAGTTGTTGTTGCTTCGGTTAATGTGCTACTAATTGCAGGTGTTACACTCTCAATTGCGCGTACCAAATCCAAATCGCAACGTTTCAATATCAACTCTAGTACGGAGCGTTTGCGATGCGGAAAAAGTTGCGCCAACATATCGATAGCACTCTGAGAGACCACCGCTGGCGAGGGTGGGGTGGGGGTTGAGCCCATCGACGAAACTGAAAATTAATCAAATTATTTTAATTCTGAACATTTTCAAAAAATTCACTTGCTTGAATGTGACCCGTATTTTATATAATGACGCACAATATTTAAAGGTTATGCTGTTTGGAGACAACTTAAAATATTCGTTATCTTATAGATGGTGTTGACTCTGCACAATTTTTAAGTGTTACTTAATATCGTGTTCGGTAAATGCATACAGACCAATGTGATGATGAAGAAAAGGAAGATGGAAAGGATTCGCACCATTGGAATATAAACTTCTATGCAATTTTTTTCTGTGTTATAATAAAAATGACATATATTTAATATCTTAAGCCACTTCTTTATACCTTGAACGGATATAGCTCAGCTCGTTATGCTGATCATTTATGTATATATTTTACAGGGTCTTCGACGTTTCATTCTGGGTGTTTCAAACTTGGAGGTAAACTTGATAACACGGTATATTAAGCTGAGCTTTGTTCGTCTGTCTGTATATACGCGAACTACAACTTGTAGTTCCTTAGTTTTTGAGGAATGCAAAATTTCAGACACACAACCTTTTCTGCCCAAGATCAGAACTCATTTGTTGGAACCGTCGCTATCGGACCACTATAGCATATATATATGTGGCATATAAACTGAACGATCGGAGTCAAGTGCTTACATGGAAATCTTTTTCATTTGGCTTTGGATTATTGTCTAAGGCAATGGGGCAATCTCAGGAGAAATTGTTCAGATCGAGTCACTATAGCATATAGCAGCCATACAAACTGATTGATCAAAATCAAGTACTTGTAAGCAACCTTTTGTATTTGTAAAAGGTATTATAGTTTCGGTTCGAAAAAAAAAATTAAAATTGCTTCCAACACTCACTTGTTGCCGCGTGACTCAAACTAGCGCCACAACTGGACGTGCTGAGGTCCTCAGCCATTTGTTGTATTTGATGTGATTTGATTTGACGCTGTGCTGGCAATTGTCTGTCCATTGCATCGTCCACCTCCGTGCAATCATTTAAGCCGCTCGTGGAGAGACCAAAGATTTGTCCCTCCGGCAGCGCATCAATTTGTTTGCCCGTCTTGGTGGCAATCAGGCGCAATGCAATGGCATTCTCCACCGCCTGCTGACGCTTCAGGGCAACCTGTAAATGTATAAAAATCACAAACTTTCACGGATATAAACAAATGGCTTAGTGAATAAAAATGGTGTGTAAACACAGTCGCAAATCACTTGCGCACACACATACATACAAACATATGTATGCGCATACAAATATATGAGTAGACAGCGATGGATCACATTTAATTCGGTGTAAAGTGAAATTAATATGCGACACAACCGACACATTTCACCATACCCGCTATCCCCTTCGCCACCACAACTTGTTTAAGTTTTGCTCTCGTATCTATTTACTTTATTCTATTAGCTTTTGTGCATTTTTATTGACTTTTGCGTCTCGCGTTTCATTTATTTTAACATTCTGGTTATGTGCTGCATATACTCAGGCATACTTTCATACATAAGTAACCAATTTAACCGCATTAATTTCAATACTTACAAACTTATGCATATGTACTTGTATATATGAACATACGAGTGTTTGTTGCCTTTCGGCAAATAAATAGAATGGAAAGTAGGATAAAAGAAATCTCGACGCTATTGCCGTTTGGGAATTACAAAGTCAACATTGTATACATCAACAGCTCGAGACTACGCAGCTTATGGCTTACGGCTCGCAGCTTTGTAACTTGAGCAGCCTTCGGCCGATTGATTACTAAACACGAAGTTACTGAGAGTAGTGGGTTGATGCGAACACTTGGATAAACATGGAAATGGATATGCTGCTACATAGATTTGCTGGCTGACAACTTTATTCTAATAGCACAAACAGTTACCGACATTCCTCCCTTCCGTACTTACCGCCCGTATCAAACCAAATTTGTCAAAATGTTGCCATTGTACAAATAGGTATATACCATTTTTCACACATTTAGTTTTTAGTTATAACTTTTCATAATGTGAAAGCTCAAAACTAAAATCCAACTATTAAAAATAGTTTGCCTATTTATAAATAAATTTATTCGACTATTAAGAATATTTCAAATATATTCCAGTTAATTTTTCGTATCAGCTGATTCGGTCCACGGTTTTGCGTCGGTGACTGTTTGTGCCATAAATTTTATTATCAAACAGTGTTACCACATTGCTGAAATTAAAACATAATTGCTAGTAGAAATTGAAGAATAGGCCGTTGGTCAGTTTATGGCAGCTTTATAAAAATTTATCACAATAATATGTATTTAAAACCGGAATTTTATTTATTTACTACAAGTTGAGTAACTCTGTTTTCACGTCATGACTTTAGAAGTGAGCGTAAATAGTTTCTCTTGTTATTTTTTTTAAGTTTTGAGACTCTCCAAACGGGAGTTGGGGAACTTAATCTATAACCGTCGATTGAGTTTAGCACATGTCTTAGGGGAAAGTTCGTAGAATTGAGTTAGCCACCTTAATAAGTCGTCTTTATAATTCTCACTGTTGAATTTAGCTTCGCTGAATTTTATAAAATTTTCTACAAAGAATTTTTTCAAGCATTTGGGAGCGAGGTCTGCACCAAATTGAATATAAAATGCTGGAAAATTTTACTAGAACTAAGACAATGTTCAATAAATTAAAATGGTAGAACTATATTCTTGTGGCAACGCTGATTTTATGCAAAGTATATGTTTTTGCGTTGGTTTAATTTAATAGTATTTTTTTTCAATAATGCAGAAAGACTTACTTACTGTATAAAAATAACAATGTAGTTAAAGCACAAATTTTTATTTATATCCGATTTTCTCAATTAGTTGATGTTTAGTCGAGGTTTTCAAATTTCTGTACATTCATTCTTCATCTTTTCGACACCTCATTATGGTTTTTCTACTTGACTAAGATATTCCTCGAAAACTAAAATTGGATATACATACATACATATATATGTGTAGACTAGTATTTTTTATTGAAAGAATTTCAGCTTTGTTAGTGCAGTTTAGACCAGGTTCAACATCATAAAAACTGCGCCACAGTTACCCAATTTGAAAATATGTAAAATCAGTCTTCGGAAGCAAACTTCGTGAGTTGAAGTTCCTCGACATCACTGAGACCCGAATTATGTATATACTTGTATTATGATCTATAAGACGGTCTTTAAGAGGAAGTACCACAGTAAAACACAAACGTCATTTGAGCCACATTTTATGATTACAAAGTTCTTCTCAAAAGAAAAAATTTTGCAAATAATGCAATTTAGTAAATCATATCACCTGTGCGGCCATAATTCGCTGCCGTTCAAAGATTAACACGCACTTTGCACATTTACAATTTTTGTAGGTGCATTGTTTCTTGTGACCACGCAGCTCGGAGATGATGCCATGATTGCGGCAACGCGCACACTTTGGCACCCGATTAGCGCCTTTTGGCGGCACCGGCATAGCATTGACTTTAAAGGATTTATTTAAAATACCACTACGTGTTTTCCTTGAGCCCACATTTCTATCGACATTAGCACTGTCCATTTTAGCCGAACTCGCACTTCCGGTTTGATTAAACGCCGTGTAATATGCAACGACTTTCCAATTGAAACTAATCTAGTCGGTTAATTTATATCCTTTGCTAAATATCCTAGTGAATTCATCGGCATTTGATTGGCAACTTTGATGCCGTCTTGTTACTTATGAAGTACTGTTATTTTACATTGCGCAAACGTAAATTATATCAAATTGAAGTTCATACTCAGTTACAGTCCTTTACAACGCTTTGACGGATACATCCTTGCGATTTTGCTACTTAAAATCTTACTGCAAATATCCTTTTCGCCATGGCTATTCGTTTCAATATGTTGCTTGCTGTATGCTTCTGCCGCCATTCGAAAATGTTTGGCCACGCCCTGCATTGTGATTGGTCAGTAGGTTATGCGCTACGTTGTGATAATCTAAGCCGTTAATCTATGCTGTGTTTCCATATACAGCACCGTGCAATATATCAGCAACAACCTTTTGTATTATCATACAGCTATATAGGGCGTAAACAGTGTTTAAAAAGCCTTCGCACCATATAAGGACCGTCAACTTACGTGAGTTGTGTAGCCACTAAAATACTCCTCTTCTATTATTGATTATTTAAATATAAATATAAAAATCCTTAAATAAAACAACAAATTATTGTAACAATAATATGCTTAAAAAATGGTTATACATCAAACGGCATAGTACATAAAATTACATATTTTACAGTAACCAGCGTCAGAAGTGATAATAATATAAGCTGTCTTCGATTCGCTATTTCCCTGCTCGGTTCTGCTCTCTTGTCAAAAAAATTACATGTAAAAGCAATTAAAAAGTTATCGAGTTGAATTAGTGCAAGAGAGCATATGGAAACTTCATTAAATATTGCAGTTTTGCTATTGTGAATGGTTCAAATGACAAATGAAAATATAATCTTCTTTTCTTGTATTTTTAAAACTCATGACTTAAAATCATTTATAGTAATTTATAGAAAACAAAAATAAAGGATTACACAACGTTTTTATTACACGAAAAATTATTTCTCCACATAGAAAGAATCATAATACTATTGCGCATGCGTCAGAAGACATGTTATTGTAGGGTTCCACTACAAATGCTGCTCGTTTGTTTGAGCATCAGGTATAGTTTGTTCGATTCGCTGGAGAGTAGGGGATCATTCACATACAACTTTTCTCGCTATGCGTGACAGTTCATACTGAAACAACGAAGCGCAGAAAACAAACGATATGCCGCAATGAACGCTTTGCTTTCAATGATTATCTCTAATAAAAATGGGGACTGGTTCTTGGCAAACCATAAAAAGATTAGAATTGCTCAGTATTTTGCTTGGCTTCGTGGCAAAAACTTTTTATGTGAATGTAGTCATACAAAAGTGTACATCGAACTTTTTTGTCAAAACAAATGTCTGACGCAAAGCGAAACAAAAGTTCTATGCGAATTGGCCATACTGCTTTCATACAATGCTGATGGTATTATTAGTCCAGAAGAAATGTATTAAAAGTTACATATTCTAAAGAGGACTACATTTGTTTTCCTTCCGTTCTTTTATTATTTCCATCATTGTGTGCGCAGCTTTATTGCAAAAAATTTGATGATATGCACAAATAGTTTTATATTTTAATCGATATTTATGAATTATCCAAATACTGTTGATCGAAATAGTGAGTCAGTCTTATTTCAAAGTAATCGGTTAATTTTACCAATGTATCCATTGTGTTGTTTTTGTTTCATCCAATTGAAAACGTTTCGCTAGAAAATCAGCTTTGTTTCGTTGGCTTTATGCATAATTCCCCGTGGATGGACGACAACACAAAACATAAATAAACGTCAGTGATGCCAACGCTATATATAATAATGGGTAAAATATAACCTATATTTAATTATAAATTTTAAAAGTTTTAAATACTAACAAACTTAATAATAATAAGAAAACAAGCAAGGCATAACTAGTGACAGTTTACTAATGATCCTTAAAGATATATAAATGCAAGGAATGTTAATGTTTATATATCATTTGAGATTTTCATCCCTTTCGTTAACGTAGGCAACACCAGTGTGGCGGCCATTCGAGAAGTTTGGCCGACGACAATGCCGAATGCGCAATTGGTTTTCAGTCGGAATTTCATCATCGATAAGTCTGCGTGGAAAATGGAGCGGTAATAGCTAAAGGAATAACAACAGCGAAAAACGCAAAGAAAACGGCCTTTTGTCCGCTATTTCAGCGAATTTTTTTGTTAAAAGCAAAAATTTACCAAACGACGACTTCTACCACTGCAACTACATCCACTCACTACCACCAAAATCACTATCAAAAAAAATACATCCAAGCAGTAGCAGCAACGTTGACGTGAGCAGAATTTTGTAATGAAAAAAATTAATGGTCAAACAGAATTAACTGCCACAGCGTATACAGCTAAAGCACCAGCAGCAAAAACACCCGAAAAAATATTTCCAAAATTAATCATATTGAACACAATAGAACATCAGGAGCTAGAAATTTTGCAATTTATTCAACATCACCAACAAGCAGCAGAGAAAAGTCAAATTAGCGTAGTAGGGGCGTCAGCTGTAGCAGCACTTAAAACGCAGTCGGACGAAGCATTTATTGAGCCGACCGCGGCAGAGCTAGCAGCAGCGGCAGCGAACGCAACAGCAGTGAAAACTTTCCATATTGAAATTTTAAATTTACAAGAATCACTGAATTCTTCGCTTAATTCATTTGAGATTAATGCGAAATCTTTTTTGTGCTACGTTATTTGACTGTTGTTAGTAGAACACCAAGAAACAGCAAATATCAGCTTCTCCGAATATCACCAGTTTTAGCACTAAAAAAAAACAATAGCAACACGATTGTTGCTAGCAATAAAATACATCAAATATTTAGCTTTAATAGAAGCGATCGTATTCTTACTTGAAATCGAGTACCAATCTATAACAGAGACGCAGGACGTATTCGCTATTAACTACAATTTAAGGACACCATAGTTAAAAGCGTAAAAGAATATCGAGGGGATAGTTTGGGAAATTTTAAGAGGCGTAAATTTCCTGCACAGTATTTAAATACATTTTTTGTTTTTTTGACAAATCATTATTTGCTGGTGGAAGCCAGTACAACCAGGAGCTATTAGTACTTTAATGACTCCATCCACCATTTTGAACGAATAACAACGCTTGAGTAACATTCACAGCTGCAGCACAGCTAAAAGTCAACGAACACCCGAACCACTCGGAAAACGAAAAGGTTGAAAAGAGGAAGCAGAAGTAGCTGCAGAAGATTGACTGACATTCGGCGTTTAATTGGAAAAGAGAAGAAAATTGAGGAAAGGAGGTAAACCAAGAGAATACGGAATAAGCGAAATAAACAAACAAAAAAAACTTAAATTACGAACATAAGCCAACAACACATAGGAACGACACAGCCAGGCCAGACGGAAACTGGTGTTGCAGCCAACAAGTCGGAGCGAGCCGAAGTGATAGATAAAAATCCACAGATTGTGGTATAGGCCGCGAACAATTGGGCGAGCAACTGTTTGTAGATTTAGCATCAAAGAAGGAATAGTTCAGTTGTGTGTTCTTTGAACTTGTACGGGTTTGTTGTTTTGGAATTTTGTTTCGGAAGCAACTTAATTATATATACGCGCAAACCAGTAGTTGCTTAAAGCCAGTATTCCTAACAAGAAAAGTTACGGCAGTATAAAAAAAAACATTTTTTTTTTTGAAAACATTCAAACCCAAATTATAAAACTTTTGCAATACAAAAAAAAAAATAAAATTATAGTCTGTACGAGAGAAGTGATTTGTGCTAATATAATATACGTGCATGAGTTTTGTTTTCTTTTTAACTTGAGCGATTGATTGCCAATTTAACAAATGCCATTTTGAAATTCTACGCTGACAGAAAATTACCTAATAATTATTTTTCAAAATATATCGGCAATTTAATACCGTAAACAATATAAAACCACGTTAAACCCGAAAACCGCAAACGAACTAATTGAAGAGAGAAAATGGTGGAACGCATATTGGAGGAAGAGGAGTGCAACAGCTGCGCCCCAGCTGCATCTACCGTTGCCAGTGGCTCCAATGTTAAAACGGACAACAATGGCAAAGTAAATAATTCTGCTGGTAGCGGCAGCGATAGTGGTGTAGGCGGAGGCGGCACTTTCTCTACGGACACCGATAACAGCAGTCAATCAGGTGAGTTCAATAAACCACATATTTGAATGTATGGTTTCTAGTACGCTTCTCAGCTATTATGAATTATATATACATATGTCTATACAAATGAGTGCGTAGTGTAGTCATAGAAAGGCATTGCGCGACAAGCATCCGCCATTTACGAAACCGCGCATCGGTTGCAGTCACCAATTGTTGCACTTTTTCGTCATTGATTTCTATCAGATTCGCATAATTGTGTATTTTAGAAACATTTATTGCTCTTAATTGTTTAAAAAGATATTAAAACTAATCGTATATTTAAAATATTGTGGAAAATATTTCTTAAACAAAAGTAAAGTTTGCCTTGAAACCCTTAAGTATATTTTGATAAACTAATATAACTCTTAAATTTACTTTCTTATATCTACTTGTAAGCCCTACTATATTTTCAAGCTCTCACTCTCACAAGTGTTTTTCAGAGGAAAAACATAAACCTTCTAGTTCGCTATACAAGACGATAGCAGGAAAACTCCCGCAATTATGCCCACTCTAAGTGGTGGAAAAATTAACTTATTGGCTATCAGAGTAGTTGGAAAAATTGAGTAGGCGCAGAAACTTGTCGCCACGTTGCGTTGGTCTATACTGCAATTAGTAATTTTTTCCCCTAAGAGAAGTGTGGCTGCCGCGCTCGATAATTGCAGTTTTTCAATGTATTTATATCTACATGGCTTATTTGCTAATTCGACGAGAGAAAAAGCTTATTTCCCATATCAACATGTTTTGCAAAAAGTCGAATCTTTTCCTGAATACCATAGAAATTGCAAACTGATGAAATATTGTTGATATATAAATTTGCAGAAGACAGTAGACGTAAAGGCGCAATTATAGAAATGACTCAGCGTTGTTGTCTTTTCACATTCTTAATACCGAAAACGAAATCGAATGGGTACCAAATACACATATACCTATATTTACATATTCAAATAGAAATAAAATTAATTTAATTCCCTTTGAAATTGCATCATAATATGTATATAGTTGCAATCTCTTCTGTTCATATTAAAGCTGCCGCAATTTGAAGCTTGTTTATGAAATTTTTTGCTACAAATCAATAAAGCTATACGTAGTATATTCATATATATTTCGTTGCTGCATTTCTGGTGCATTGGAACGCAATATACTAAAACGCGAATACTAACAAAAATGTATGTATAGTGAGCATGCATAGATAGCAAATAAAAGCAAACGTCATTTTCAGCGGCACCTGCCTGCTGCCGCCGTTGGCTTCGCAGTTTTTTTGTAGCGTCGCAGTTACGACGGTAGTGGCAGAACTTGCTTTTCGCTGTAATGTATCGTGCAGCTTGAGTGCTCAAGTAGCGGCTGGCTAACCTTGATGACGTTTATTGCACTCGTATGCACTTTTGTTGCAGTCAAAATAGAACACAAACAAATGCCTGCAACTACACACAACCGAACAAAAGAGAAAGAAAATCTAAACGTTGTATGTTCATTGTCGGCTAGCCAGTGGTGCCTAGCTGGTTTTACACTGGTTTTATATATATGTATATGTACATACATGTACTATGTAGTATGTATCTAGTTATAAATTTATTATTACTATATTTTTTATTGAGTGCAACTCACTTTGTAGCTTTTTGTTTTTTATTATTGTACGTGTGGGTCGCTGCCGTTAAAAATATATTTAGAAATAAAGAGATACATTAAGTGAGTAAATAAATAAATTTTTCATGACGGCCACCACTTTAGATTAAATAACTAGCAGAGATGATGAAAAATAGTTGCAAATTGGAAAACCGAAGTACAAAGAGGTAGAAGTACTAAATGCCTACACTCGCATGACTCGGCATTTAGCAGGTAATAACTGACCGGCTACACGAGAATATTTACAGCTGATTGATGACAAGTGATGTTTAAATTATTTGTTTTGCTTGTGAATGTCATTAAATGGCGACTTTTGTCATTTTTTTTATTGGAATATTGCTTTTGCAATTAAGTGTTTATTAACCGATTATCTGCGCAAGCATATACAACACAAAATTATAAATACATTTACATGCATTGGTATCAATGCCTACATACGCTGAGGTACATGCTAATGTATGTGCAAATGCATGTAAGCAAAAAACGCGGAGGTGTTTGATGACAAGGCAACAAGGTAATTGTTGCGTATTTTGTTATATTACGGCAGGCAGAAATGTGACGTAAATACCTTTATAAACATTTGTATGTATGTATCATATTACTTGAATAAAATTTTTATAAAGCAAATTCTAATAATGTAACTGTAGTTTATAATTTAATACTATTAGGACATACTTACGCATTAAACAGGGCGATAGTGACTCATTTGAATTGATTTAAATGATTCAAAAATGTCGATCGTAAGCTGAATTTTTTTTAACTTATTATTTTAATTCTATGTAGGAGAAAAATTTAGAAGTTAAATAAAATATTTCTTGAATGTAGATTTTATTTTAAGTAATTATTTTTATTCAATATACATATTTAAAGTAAGGTCAAAAGTCCGTCAGCTCATTTCTATACTCAGTTTGTCACCTGCGAAGGCGTAATTCGAAAATGTACTTAACCTAGTCGCTGCCCAAAGTTGGCGAAAATCCGTATAACAAACACCATAAAACAATAGAAGTGCAACGAAAATCAAACCACAAAAAGAAACGCACACACCTAAACCTGAACACTTACATTGTGGCTTTCATACATTTCCCTTGTTTTTATGTGGTTAAATGCTCACCCCTGCTATCACCCATATTTGATCTAAGCACTCCATTTTTTATGTGTATGACTGAAGTCACGACGTCGATGGAGGCGTTAACACTGCTACAGCTGCTATTGCACTCGTTTGCATTTACTAAGCCAAATTTGTCTTTAATTATCTTTTGCTCCTTCACGGTGCTACACAAATATTATATACATATGTGCATGGGTGTGTGCGTATTTTCATGTTTTGTCATTTTCTTCCTTTCTTCGGTCACAAACAAACAAACATTAGTACGCATTTTTTACTACTTTTCACATGCCTTTACACACTTTTGTTATTGTTTGGAATGTTTTTTTTTTCAATGCTGTTGTCAAATTTCTTTGTTCGCTCGTTTCACACTGCCAATTATCAGTGGCCACGTTGTGCTTGCGTTGCGCTACATATGTTTTATTGACTTTTCTTATGTGCCTATTTGTTTTTCATATTTCGTTTTGATCTCCTTCGTTTGCCTACGTGATATTTAGCTCTATTTGGTTTAATTATTCTGTGAAGTAGCAAAGTTTTGACGTCGGTGCTGCTGGTGTTCAGTTGCAGCGCTGTTGCGTCGTGTTGCGGTTCCTTACAAGAATGCGTGACTGCACGCCGGCATTTGTACAAGCATAAGGTTTGTGCAAACACTAGCTTAAACCACTTTTTTTTTGCACCGAATATTTGTATTTATTACGTTGCATAACGAAATTACCACATATTTTAGTGCGTGTTACGAATTAAGGAAGTGATTGAAAAATTTCTTTGTCTCAAATATACCATATTTCACATATTGTTTATTTACAATAAATTGGTAAACAATTTTGCAAGTCAAACGCAGGTTTTAATTCAGGTGTTAAATTAATAACTCATATTTTTGTTGTTGTTGAAAGTAACGATTATCCTGACCATGCTTAGGGAAAAGCAATAAGTTAATTGCCATCGAAATCACTTAACGCTAGGTCCAGAAATAGAGCTGGTTCGAAGGGTTTGGATCATACCCAGCCCGAAGTTACGCATATTTTACGACGCTATTGCCAGATGTAATTTTTATTAACAAAAGGATTTCAATTAGAAAAATTAAAAATCCAATTAGTTGCAATAATGTTTGGATTTTATTTTTTTTGGATATTTGATAGTAAAACTAAACCATTTTTTCCAGTTTGTATATATCTGTCAAACTTCCCTTTTAAGATGTCCTTTTTTGTCCAAGAAATTCTATTCATTTCGAAATAAATTATTATATAACTTATGCATTATACAACTGTTTATATAGAAATAATAAAATAGTTGAACTAATTATTTAAGTTAAAAAGTGTAATTTTGTGTTGATAGATAAAAAAAAATTCAAAAAGTTCGAATACTCCCTGCGTTCCGCAGTAAACTTTGACAGCTATATTTTTCTGATTTTTTAATTTCACCACTTACTGAGAACTGCAATGTCTCTTTAGTATCTCTTTATTTATAAATTTCTCTTTTAAAATTCAATATGAAACTCTTTCATTTTGTACGCAGTCTGTCCATCGACGGGCCGGTGCTTTTACAAAAATGCCATTTGACAGCGGTTTTCTGTTGCGTTTGCATTTGTATCTTGGCTTACATACTAATTTACGAACGACGCAAATTATAAATGGCGATAAAATCGTACAGATATATATACTTACACACATAATTGTACATATCTACATATTTATGTATTTACATGCGCGTTGCCACGTAACTGCTCAGAATAAAAACAACATGCAAAATAAAATTCGCGCTATAAACATGGAACCGGTCTATTCTTCCTATGTGTTTCTTTATTTAAATTCTTTTGCAATCCTACAAATGTACATATGTGTGAATATACATACATATTTATATATGTTTGCATTCTGTATGGGCAGTTTTAAGACCCGGTCAGATCACCCAATTTCTAGAAACTAGTTCTTTGGTTTTTATGGCCCAGCTGTTGTGCCACCTCCTCGTAATTATTTTTATTTGGTGCTGTTGTCAAGTTTTGACAGCAGCCAACAAACGTCCATGATTAGCCGGAATTGGCTGCCACTACTGTAAAATGCATTCCATTGCGCCAATGCATTCTGATCGTTTGTGTCTCAAATTTTCTTTTTGTAACTCAAATTTTGGCTTCACAAACTTTGTGTTAAACATAGAAGCTTACTCGGCTTGGTATACTAGATTCGGGCTATTACTTTGAGGAGGATCAATTTATAAGATTGGTGACAACCTTTAAGAGCTCTACTCCCTGACATTTTGTTTTTTATACTTTCCT